TTCGTTCCTCAAAGGCCGTCAGCGCGCTTGTAGCTCCTCTTGTGTTGCATGTGTCCTTGGGTGGTGGTAATCACTCACCATCAGGTGATCCATCTGCTCGTCTGCCCCCATAAATAGCATCGTAGAGGTTTAATTGACTAATTTTAAAATCATTTGCAATCCCTACAAATGCGATTGGTTGAGTACAATGGCAAAACTCAAGTAGGTAAGATTCTATTAAGATGCTATTAAATAATAATTAACAGAATAAGCCTGCTAGCTGAAGACTATTGGCAGTTTATCGTGTATATTTTCCCGCGTAGATTATAGCTTATAACACGCGTATATGCCACTGCAGGGGCTCAGGCCTTCCTTATGGATGGTTAAGGAGGATGGGCCAAGACCCTCCACGTTGGCCCAATGCGGATTGGTAAGGTATTAACGTCTGCAAATGCAGTCGGGACCAATGGCTTAACGTGCCTTCCGAAGCACGGAGTAGCTCGAGATAATAATTTTTTGGTCATCCATCCCGTGGTCGACCCTTGCGAAAGTTGCTTAACGACAACGATCGCGGGCCGCGGTCCTTATTGACAATGCTGATGATATTGCTGGAACAGAAATCCCTCGGTCAGTTCTCAGATAAACCTAGGCAGGCTGGTCTTAAGCAACAGGCGCTCGGGTGCAAGTAGTGCGCCCCACAGCCCAAGCTAGGCTCGTCTTAAGCAACAGGCGCCCGGGTGCAAGTAGTGCTCTGGCGCCCCCCAGCCCACTTTTGACCATATTTATATTAAAGACCATTATCGGCGCGGCGCCCCCCAACGCGCGGCGCCCATGTGCACGCCCTGCACTATAGGTTAAGCCGCCCCTGAACCTAGCTCGGTTGAATAAGCATGAAGTATCAATTTTACTGTGTTATTCGAGAAGCCAGGCTAAGTACTTTCAAAAACGACATTCAATATATATATATATAATATACTACAATTTACATACAATTTCTATATTTGATAAACTTTGATTAATTGCCTGAACAAATGGCTCAGATAATTGGCATTAAAGTTGTAAGAGCTCGCTGCGTCACAGTTTTGTAGAAAACGTACAAAAGCGTGACGTCATGCGACATTTCAACTAGATGTGTCGTCGTAATTAATTGATTATGCAAATAATGCGTATTTAATAATCTTCAATAGTCTACCTGATGCACAAACCAGGCCCATCTTAAGCACAACAGGCCGGGTGCAAAAATTGCTCTTGTACCGGTGTGCCGTACCACCGTCTATTTCGTCCTATAGTCTATTCAACTTCCTCTGAGACAAAATGTAAAAAAACAAACCAATGTATCTCAAACTTTTTTATTGATGTTGGTATGAAAATAAAATTTGTTAATGGGACAAATTATTGTATGGTAGGTATGCAATATTTCTTTTTCAAATAAAACTAGCAATTATTAGAGTAAATAATTTAATTCAGAATCTTCCCCATCTTCCTCCACTTTCTCGGTTGAACGCAAGGGGGTGTTCTTGGAACGCTTTTTCTTCGGTGAAGAAAAAGTACAAGCATTGCTTGTGCTTGGTCCAGGTTCACTCATAATTACCGACGAAAACATCAATATAACAATAAAAAAACTTAACAATTACAGAAAACAACAAATTTAACAAGTGGAATAAACAAATAACAAGAATTTATATTTTGCACGAGTCAACGAGTTGATCGAGAGTAAAAATGGCCGGTATAACACGACTAATTACAAAATTTCACGTTTCTACGTAAATTTACCTCATCACTACTCCTCAATTTAGTACTATTATAACGTCCAATTTTTGGGAACAGCTTCAATTTTCGGTGTTTTTAATGTCACTTCCTATTTACATTAATTCTAAATGCATTTATATTTTGACATATTAAAGAACCTTTTTCCAGTTTGTTTACATTTTGTCTCAGAGGAAGATGAACAAACTATAGGTATCAGCATGCAAACTTTTTGTCTCTGATCTTCAACATCATTTCTTTTTTTTATTAACCTTTCGTAATTTGAAATTTTGAATAATCCAATATGCTCCCTATGAATGTCAGTTCGTAAAAAAATTCGTCTTTTGTAAAGGTGTAAATCACACATATTGTAAATCGTATAAATTTAAACTTAATATTTTATTAATGAGGTTTTGTGATTAAAATAAAAATTATAAATTATATGATATAATAAACGTATATACTGAAACTTGGACGATTCAAGTTTTAATTAAAAGAAACCCCAAAAAGGGATTTGTATGTATTTGTTTTATTTAGCAATTTAAATTTTATATTTAGTTTAACATACGAACTGTTCTCAAGCCAGTCAGCCTGTTATTATAATTACAGGGAAAAGGTTTTGTTATTTTTTATACATACATTAAAAAAAAAAATGATATATATTTCAAGACTCGTTTAGCGTCAGCGGTTGAAAACTATAGAAATTATTGAAATAAAATTACAACTTTGGAGCGCATTACCGAAGTCATCGATAAGTAGGTACTACAAGATTAGACCATCATCGGCGCCCGGGTGCATTGCACTCCTTGCACCTCCGGGTAAAGACGGCCCTGGGACAAACAAAAAAATAGTAATCCCAATAGGGAATATGCACATTTTTGGAAAATGGTTTAATATGATAATTAACATCGATATATAACTGTAAAAAAATACCCGGCACCGAAAAACTAAAATTTTGTAACATTAATCATTGATGAAAATAAGTTATAGCTACGAGCAGTTTAAACACCGGAATTTTTGGCGCGCTCGTCGTGACGTCAAAGTACACGACTAGAGATGTGACATTATAAATCAATATGGATTTTGAGTGATTGATTATTATTCAATTACCCAAATCGATTAATAACTAATCAATTTTTTAAAGTATAATAGACTTTTTTAATAAATCATATAATTTACCAAATTAGTGAAATAAAAATAAAAGCCTAAACATCATTTCCATTGTAATCTGTTGTTTATTTTGTCACTTAATACATTGATGTTATTGCATCGATGTAAACTTTTTGTAACAACGACAACCCTATACGTGTACATTTTCGTCACATCCGCTCTGACAAGTAGCATGTTACCACATTTATTTTGCACTTTTGAATAATTATTTTCAAGACCAAAATGAAGAAATTTTGAAAGATATTTATTTAGACTTTGTTCTAAAGCAATAACGATTGTGATAAAATATATTTAACCCTTTTTTGAATCAGACGCATATTCCCTATTACCGTGTTGTGTCGTCGTGTCTGTACTCTGCCTTAGCCATTCGAAAGTTAATCCATATACTATTTGAATTGTGTCAAACATTATCAGTTTTATTATTTTGTAAACATCGCCTTATCTCGCGTTATTAAGATACGGACAAATCTCGTAATAATCATTGCCTAACGATATAGTTTATTTGTTTAGGTTTTGCCGTTTTCCCGCGACTTACGAAGCGTCGTAAGTACAAATAACAGTTCCTCAAGCTTGAGGAACTGTTATTTGTACTTTAAATAAAAACCAAAAGAACTTGTACTGGAACTATATTTATCAAGAAGGCATAATTTTTTTAAATAAGCTAATTGCTAAAGTAACAACTTAATACCTTTTTATTACTTTCTTTTTAAGGAGTCTAGAAAGGAGGTTGATATATAAGGATAGGTTACAACGTGAACAGATGACGACTGGTAAAAAAAAGGAATTCTATTTAGTCCGTCAGTTAGATGATTGAAAAATATCAAATACGTATTTTTTTTGGTTCAATTTAAACAAGAAATGGCTTAGATAATGGTTGTGAAAGTTGTGGAGTGGGGGGGGGGGGGGCACGCTACGTCACAGTTTTGTAGAAAATGTAATAAAGTGTGACGTCATGCGACACTTCAACTCAATGTGTCGCCTTAATTTATTGATTTCGCAATAAATAAATTATGTGTTTAATAATGTTCAATAATCTAACTGATGGACAAACAAATAAAAATTAAGCATATGCTACCTGTGTAGCCTCCCGAGCGCTTAGTGTAAGTTTTTTTGTCGTTTACGTTCGCGCGTTAAGATTTTAGTATGGAATCCGGTACAGCGCCCCTAGCGATAACTAACGAGAATTACAAATCTCCATACAAATTCTTAACGCGCTCACTAGCGAACGCGTTAGCGTAAAACTTACTCATACCACTCTGTAGGTGAAAGTATTTTTAAAATCAGTCTACTAGTTTCGGAGACTATTCAATGCATTATAAATAATGAGGAAGTATTTTAAAAGAAAGCACCAAAAAAGCATCCCCACTAGATGGCGACTCTAGCAAAAGTTGATTTTTGCAGGAAACCAATGGACCAAGGATAGTCATTTCTGTTCCTTTTAACTTACACAATAAAACACTGAAATTTGCAAAGTTCGAAACTTAGATATCAATACAAATACGAAAGAGTACAAATAGAATATGAGTTGTTTATTGAGTTTTGAAAACTGATTTACTTTTAAACATGAAAGAAAACCGGAAGGGTTGTCATGGAGAATTCAAGAAAGTAATGTAGCGACATCTAGTTTGGTTTCGGAAACTTTTTTTTTAAAAACTTCATTCAATGTTATTCTTCATTATAATATTATTACCTATTGAATAATACAGATCTTAAATAAGAGACAAACCTGATGGATTTACATGTCAACGTACAGCCGGAACTACTGTACCTAGATAATTGAAATTTGGTGCATAGGCTTCTTTCATTATGTTAGTGAGCACTAAGTAAGGATTCTTCTCTAATATTAATGTACCCCCTGCTGGGGTTCAGGCCTTCCCTATGTATGGAATCGAATAGCGAGTATGGGTCATGCCCCATCACGCGGACTTAGTGATTGTTGGGTGTTAACGATCGCAGATGCAGCCCGGACCAGAATAATTGGTTACCCATCCTATGACTGACCATTGCGAAGGTTGCTTAAGGAACTCTTCTAATATCTTATTCTACATTATTATTATCTGTGTTTGTGGACCTTTTTATTTAAAGAAATTTGTTTTTTTTTCCAGATTAATCGACGCCAGCCAAAAAACAAGACTGATTTTTAATGCTACTTAGGTATAGTTTAAGAGGGGGAAGTAGCGCACATTCCACTGTGGTAGCATGTACCACTGACGCCATCTTGATTAGGCGGCTATTACGCGCGTCAGCAACATGGCGTCGGCGCCCATCCGGTCGGTGATCGAGGAGGGTGACGTCGAGGAGAAGCTGCTGAATGAGAACAATAAAGTCCTGATTGTGCCAAATTCAGTTCAAGATGAGGGCGGTATTTTAGCTGTCAAGTCTTCTAAGAAAGGTGAGCATAATAGGGTATTAAATAAAGACTTCAATGTATAGTCCTGTCGCCTTCCTGAGTATATTAATTTCCCCACTGCTGGAGCTCAGGCTTTCTCTATGGATGGAATCGAACGGAATAGGTAGAATGTGCCATGACCCACAACGCGGGCGCAGTTCGGTTCTAGCGACTGCAGGTGCAGCCGGGAGCACCGGCTTAACGTGTCTTCCGAACCACGGTGGAGTACGAGATAATAATTTTTGGTCACCCATACTAAAATTGGCCTTTACGAAAGTTGCTTAACAACCACAATCGTAAACCGAACGCTCTAAGCACTTTATTTTTTTCCCGAGTCGCCAGCGCGGCTAATCGGGGTTATGTGGGGCCTTGCGGACCCGCCTCAGAATATGGCTAGTCAAAGAGCAGGGGTATACCCACCCACTAAAACCCAGCGATGTCCTACGCATGGAAGGCGATGCACGGGATCAGCCCGAAGGCCATACACCGGGCGAACGCTCTGAGCACTGAGCCATCGCGATCGATACGTATAAAAAAACGGAGTAGAAAAATGTTGAAAAAAAATCACGTGATTAAAGGACGCCCCCTAAGAGATAATGAAACATTGGAATTGTTCTTGTTGGAATTGTTTTTAAGCTGTCATTTGAGTTAGAGAATAGGCATGCTGATCCTGCCTCTGATGCATAGACAATATTTTTAATAAAATTATACGAACGATTCCAAATTTTCCGAATTTACGTTCTAAAACGAATAGTCCCTCAGATGTCGCGTTAATTTGTACGAGAATCAACGAATAGCAAAGGAGCCACCGACTTGATTCTAATTCGATAAAACGCTGACATTCCGTTCATAAATCCTACGTCACGTTGCAATAATTAAACGCAGCTGTTGGAAAAAAAAATGAAGGTAATTTGGAAAAAAAAGATACGCTTATAAATACTTGTGTTGTCATTAAAAGTTTATTTTATGTGTTCAGTGGAAATATAAGCAAACAATTACGATGAAGAAAGCGAGATATAAACAGATAAAGAAGCGTAAGTGTATTTTTTTTAAACTAGCTGTTTCCCCGCGGTTGCGTTCTCGTTAATCACCCGCGTATGATGTAGGCTCTCGTGGGTAAAGGAATTCTTAAAATTGGTCCAGTAGTTGTGGAGCTTATCCGATGCGAACACACAAAGAAATCTTTCCACTTAATAATATTAGTTTAAAATAAGCATTTATAATAAAATAACATTGATTTAAAAGAATATGTACTTGTCTTTATAATTGAATATATAGCATATTTTTATGCCTGAGGTTTATATTATAACTAGCATTCCGCCTGTAGCTCGGTGGCGTAGTGGATAAGCGCCGCGGCCCACGATCGTAGTCGTTAAGCAACTTTCGCAAGGGTCTGTCACGGGATGGGTGACCGAAAAATTCGTTGCTCGAGCTACTCCGTGCTTCGGAAGGCACGTTAAGCCGTTGGTCCCGGCTGCACTTGCAGTCGTTAATACCCTCCAATCCGCATTGGGCCAGCGTGGGGGGTCATGGCCCATCCTCCTTAACCATCCATAAGGAAGGCCTGAGCTCCTGCAGTGGAGACGTAAAAGGGCTGATGGATAGCATTCCGCCAGCGGCTTTGCCCGCGTTCTCTTGTATTATACATAAAAACCTTCCTTTTGAATCACCCTATCTATGAAAAGAAACCGCATCAAAATCCGTTGCGTAGTTTTAAAGGTTTAAGCATACATACGGATACAGGGACAGAGAAGGCGACTTTGTTTTATACTATGTAGTGAAGTTGATTCTCACCTTTTTATCTATATTTAAGAGAATATAATAATAATTATTATAATTATCCTTTATTTATTTCAAAAATAAAATAAAATAAACATACAATTGAACAGTTGGTATGCAGTAGTGGGTCTTAATGTTAGTTATTATATAAGGCAATAGGGATGACGACTGGGTAAAAAAAATGCTTTTATATTTAGTCCGTCAGTCAGATAATAGAAAAATATTAGATACGTATTTTTTTTTACTTCAATTTAACAAGAAACAGCTTAGATAACAGGCATTAAAGTTTAGGAGTGGGGGCTCGCTACGTCACAGTTGAGTAGAAAACGTACTCTAACGTGACGTCATGCGAAATTTCAACTCAATGTAACGCCGTAATTTTATGGTTACGAAAAAATTAAAAATATACGTTTTTAATATTTTTTAACACTCTACCTGACGGACAAACAAACAAAAATTAGTCATCATCCCTATTATAATAGAAGATACAAGTCACAACTGACCCTAATATACACTAATATTATAAAAAGGAAAACTTTGTTTGTATGTTTGTTTGTAATGAATAGACTCAAAAACTAGTGGACTGATTTTAAAAATTTTTTCACCATTCGAAAGCTACATTATCCACGAGTAACATAGGCTATATTTTATATAAAATGGGACCCTATTGCTAAGACTCTGCTGTCTGTCTATCAGCAGCCTGTATATAGTTGGGATTATTACAGATTTCTAATGCTGTTATAACAAAAAATACTAAAAAGAGGATAAAATAAAATATTGAAGGGGCTCCAATACTATAAACGTGATTTATTGCTAGTTTTCTGTACGCAACCTTTCGTGCGCGAGTCCGACTCGCGCTTGACCGGTGTTTTGTTAATGAAACCGAATTGTGGAACGTTTAATTTTTTTTTCAATTCCCCTTCAATGTTGTAGTAATTATATAAATTGTTACATATCGATACGTTGCGGTTGGAAAGGGCGTAACCAACTTTTTTTACAAAATGAGTTTTTAATTATTTATTTTTTGCAGTGAACTAACGGTATTTTTACAGTTCTCCAATTCTGGAAATTGAAGGCAAAAATGAAAGATTGAAGGCTTTTATTCGCAAAGGCGTTTATTTTTATGTCATCAAAGACATCGTCAAAGTATTAGAAGTAAAAGAAACTCTTAAATAAATAATTTTACCAAACAGAAGTAGTTGACATGACGTTGTACTTATTTTGTGGGGCGTGATAGACGTACATATTTGATTTTAAATCTATCTATACTTATACTAATACTTGCTTTTGCCCGCGACTTCGTTCGCGTGGTGAAGTTACTTTGAGCAGCATTTCTAACGAATATTTATTTATTATATCGTGTAAAATATCTGAAATAAAGTTGCATCCCTTATTTTATCCCCTTAGGGGTGGAATTTATCAAAATCCTTTCTCAGCGGATGCCTACGTCATAACATCTACCTGCGTGCCAAATTTCAGCCCGATCCGTCCAGTGGTTTGGGCTGTGCGTTGATAGATCACTATGTCAGTCAGTCACCTTTGTGTTATATATATATATTTAGATTATAATATGAAGAGGAAACATGTGATTGTTTGTTTGTTTGTAATTACTAATTACTGAACCGATTTTAAAAACTCTTTCACTTACGAGAAGCTACATTATATGCGGTGAACATAGGCTATATTTTATCCCAAGAAACAGCAAAGATATGAAAATGTGAGTGGAAGTTTCCATAAGGAATTAAAATGTTACTATACCAACCCTTGTTTACTATTTGTTATTGTAATTATATTAGTATCATGATTTGGATGGATATTTAAATGAACAGTTCTCTAGGGACCACGTGAGCGAAGCCGTGAAGTTATCTATAATCTATACTAATATTATAAAGAGGAAAACTTTGTTTGTGTGTTTGTTTGTTTGTAATGAATACGCTCGAAAACTAATGGACCGATTTTAAAAATTCTTTCACCATTCGAAAGCTACATTCTCCACGAGTAACATAGGCTATATTTTATTTTGGAAAAAGATAGGGTTCCGTATGATATTTGGGTTTTTCCGACACAAGGTCTAAAAAATCAACTATAATAGTTACTTATTTTGCGTACGCTGCCTAAACTATGAAAGGTAGAACCATAAAATGTTCTAATTAATTGTAGATCTAATAAATATCTGCAAAAAAGTCCGCGACACACTTTACCTATCTATGTCGAGTGAGGCACAACAACCGTTTTTTTATTTAAAAATCTTTATTTTTCTTTGGACTTCATTTAAACGCGTTTATTTTACTCATGCTATTAATCCTTATCAAAATAAATTATTTCATCACTAAGTACAGTTTATGTAGATAATATTTGGTCTTTGAATGATTAAAATTGGACGTTTGCTTTTGAAGTTATGGCGAAATTAAAATATTACGATATCTGCTGCACAGCCCTTTGCATAGTAAGAAATATTTCTTAAAACATTGTGTTATAATATTATGCACCATGAATATTGATAAGTTTTGGTGTAAGAATCATATTTTTAGAATTGATAACAACACATTTTTGACAGATTAAAATCTTTTTTTAGCTCTTGAAAAGTCGGGTTTTGGTGATTACTCCCTTTTAGCCGCAAAGGTTAGATATACATTCGATCTCGTACATTTTCAAGGATGAGTGTTGCATGTTTAGTTGCACACGATTTTCTAAACGATATGTTTGTTTTTTTTTAAGTCATCTTTTCTTTAATAGTGTAGTTTTAAAAATATGATTGAAAGCAAAGGTAATTGTTATTTAATTCTAAATAGTAATCAATAAGGTGTCTTGTTAATATTTGCAACTTTACTTGTATTAGTAAGTGTAGTTCAATTCTTACAAGCTTAATTTTACTTCCCATTTGGATGAGACATAATAAAACTTATCTTAAACCATCGAAAGATTGCAGTTAGCATTCGACACTTTGATTTTTAATTTCTTAATAGCTTCCAAAGTTATTTGCGTGTAACGCTTACCTAAGATAATTCCAATTAACGTGAAATCAAGTATTCATACAATATCTTTCAAAAACACGTCGCGATCGCATGTTCACATGTAAAATAGTTGTAGCGTGAAGTCCGCGAATACCTTTCAAATGTCAAATTGAAAGGGATATCGGCAGATTAGACAATTGACCCCCAGATCTGATAATAGGGTCCGATTACATACAAAGGAAAATCAATCAACTTTAAAACCTTCTTTGT